TTTAGGCCTATCTATGGCCTTCAACAAGTTGACGATTCTACATGTTTCGAAGTTACAACGTCAAGCTCAGTAGAGTCGTCAACTTTTTGAAGGCCTAAATAAAAGGTTTTTAATTGTGTACCAGTTTAACGTTGAATATTATTTATTATTTTAACTTTATACACAAGTGCCAAAATACTATAATTAGCAATAACTTTAGTTGTCCAACAAACTGTTTTCTAAAACATGTAGTAATATACCAGTCCACCTTCGAACTCCGAATTTTTGCGTTTTAAGCCCGTAGACTTATCGGTGATTCACCAGGGGACTACGTAAGGTTTAAAATAGTAGCGCAACAAATGTAGGAAGCATCAAGCAGAATTCCCCTTCTCCTGTTCCAACAGAGGAATGGTATAACTATAAGAACAAGTACTAAACCCTTAGGCTTAGTCCTAAATTACACCAAACACAAAAGAACTATATATATATTATATACGAAGCTGCACCCCCATTTTTTATTATTTACGTTCTATTATACGGCACTACAAAGCGCCGAAAATTACCTTCCTAATAGCATTTCAGGTATTCCTTAAAGTACAAATACAGAATAAACGTAAAGGTTTCTAAGCTTTATCTTTTTCTTTTATTGCAGTGTCGTGATTCCAAATTTAAGACGGTAAATCTACAAAGCAATGATCTCCGGCAGAATCTGATACGTTTTAATCATGTGATAAATCAAGCGTTTTTCTGTTTGTCTGTAATTAAGCACAAAGCTACACAATGGGCTATCAGTGCTCTGCCCACCACGGGTATCGAAACCCGAATTCTAGCGTTGTAAGTCCGCAGACTGGGGGCCAGGTTTTCTGTTAAAACTCTACTTAAGTTCCGAAGAAGGAGTACCAGCAGTTCGCGTGACAGTTAACGAGAGTGAGCCATTTTTGACAGTAAATACCATCTCACAACACAATATACACCGACAAAATCTGTCGGAAGGCTTATAGACACCTTAACGAGATACGATCACGAGTGTAAGTGAAGCCTGAGTTTGAACTTTAAATGTTATGTAACGCCGCGAAGGAAGGAAGCATAAGAAACACTGGACCCCATATTATAGTACCTAGCCGATAGTATCATCTGGTTGTATCTATAAAAATTCAAAATTAACTATTTTTATTTCGTTTTAAGAGAGTTTAGATCGTGATTAATACATTTTCCTCCATCCGGAAAACAAAATAAGTTTTTGTTTGTGTGTTTAGAGCAAACCCACATTGAGCTATCTGCTGTATCCACTGTGGAGAATCGAACCTTGGATTTTAGCGCGGTAAGTCCGTAAATTTATAGCTGTTACACCGGGGGACGGGAGACGAAAAAAAGGAGTGGACATTGTTAAAATCAGTGGGTATTGCTTTGTTTGTTTGAAGTTAAGCACAAAGCTACACAATGGACTATCTGTGCTCTGCCCACCACGGGTATCGAAACCCGGTTTCTAGCGTTGTAAGTCCGCAGACACTTTTTATTTTAAGTCACGTTAGATGCAAGAACGGCTACATTTTAAATATGAATCTTATTTCCCAGTGTTTTTACTTTTTGATAAAAAAATATCTTTAAGATTTAGAAATTCGTTGATATACAAATCACTAAGAAAATATACTGTATAATATTCTTTGTATTCTATACGAATTTACTAAAACCCACTGCCGAAAAAAGATCGAATGGTCGAGTAAAAATATTATACTATTTAGTATTTTCCACCTAAACGCCACAACCATCCCTAATTTTGAGCTTCTGACCAGAAATAGAACAACCAGCCTGCAGCTCCGCCGTCTGCGCCGCTATTCCTATCTGGAATATCTGGATTATGTGTCGCTTTTATAGTGCTTCCACAGCTAAAAGTGGAAGGGTATTCAACGACACACTACGGACTCAAACCTTGCACTTTCTATCCACAGCTTGGCACATTGAGCTACTCCTGGCTCGTAATGATTACACGGTGTACTGGTGTGTTAATAAATAGGTAAAGTTAGATTTTTCCTCTATAGCAATAAACTGTCTCAAGGGCATATTTATAGAGTTTTTTTTTTTTTTTTTTTGAAGGGAATATTTGTTAATTATACGTACTCAAACCGGTTTAATGACGACGATGCTCGAGATAAACTCGCAGACACAATAAACTCAAAAAGTAGATATCTGGTCTGGTTTTACAAAAAAAAACATTGCATTCGAAAAATTGCATCCAATATTCTTGTGAAAATTAAAAACATCAACCTTTTAAAACAAACTGAAACTTCATAGTTGTAAGCTTGGCTTAACTAGACGTAGGAGGAGTTTCTTAGAAGCAAAAGTTCGTTTTTATAGCTTACTTT